AAAGGGACCTTCATACTCCTGTGGAACTAGTTAAAGGCCTCTTACTGGGAAACTTATTAGGACCTCCCTTATGCATGATTTAACCTTCATTTCCCTGGTCCTGATCCAGAGTCCGCTGAAACAGTGAAAATGTCCATTTCCTTTGGTGAGTGTTGCATTGCCTCTCTTTTTTTCTTTTCTTTTTTTTTTTTTTTTGGCAAATTCATGCCTTAGTTAAGTCCAGCTCAGCCATTCAATTGTGTAATGGCAAACTCCAGCTTCACAAAACCTGTTCACGGCACCCAGAAACTAATTTTCTAGCTGAAAATGGTAAGACCTTCAAATAGTCACAGCATGGGGTGTTTGACTTTCCATTTTTAGAGCCTATTGATTCAAATGTACTTGCATCACATTCTTAAATTGTTCCTACATCCCTAAGACTTAGAAATTCTTTTTGCTTTTGTTAATGAAAACAGTCTCTTGCACAGGCACCTGCCCCAAGGATCTAAGGCTTTAAGAATGACATATTTAATGAAAGCACAAGGGTTAGTTTGTGCTGACTTGTGGTTAACTCATGTTAATCACACTAAGTAATGCTGAGCCATAGATCTGGGGGGAGATAGTCGCACTGAACAGTAAATTTGGCAAAACCTGGTTTTCTAAGGAGTGAGAATATTTGCCAAGTCAAATCAACTCTTACAAACTGTTCTAGCCAAAAAAAAAAAAATGAAGAAATGTAAAAAATGTCAAAACACTCCTCAACATTGTTTGAGTGAAATGTTCTATTTCAGAAACATCAACACCTTGTGTCCTCATTTTCTAAGTAACACACTGATATTTTCTATTTGGAAAGGCATTTTTTGCTACAAACTGAACTGAGCTTCAGAAAAGCGGTGTTAGAAAGGGTTAAATAACCTGATAATTAAACTTGAGGAATTGCCTCAAGCCAGCTGGTCTTGGCATGGTTTTTCAAAACAAAAATCTTCAAATCCACTGTAATTTGCTGCGAGGAAACCCACAGCTTCTTAGCTGTGAGGAGATGGCTTAGTAGCTTAAAGTTATTAGGAAGGAATTGTCTTCCTAAATTTGACTACCAGTTTTGACAACATTTCCTCAATGACCTTGACTACATCATTCAACCTTCTGTGCTTCAGCTTCCTACCTGCGTTTTCCTAGGATTGTATCGAAATCATCTCGTGTCAAGAACATTAATTTATCAGTATGGATTGTCATTTACTTTTCAGTTTATCTGTGACAAGGCTGTCTTGTAATGTCATTGTCATCTTATTAACTGGGAAAGTAGAGCTGTATGAGTATTTTTACCCCACTGTGGATTATAGGAGTTTGGTTGGTGTGGTTATTTCCATTCCTCTAAGTAATTGAGTGATTCTTCTAGTGTGTTTGTATGCATTCCTAATCTGTTCCAGCTCACATTTGCCCCTCAGTAATCATTCCTTCAAAAATAATTGTATTGAACTGTGGAAAATAATAAAGAGAAACGTCATTGTACGCACGGTGCCGCACACAGTTCCTTCCCCGGTGGAGGAAGGTTTCTCGTGCAACCTACTGTGTGCTCATGATTTTTGCTTTCTTCACAAGGAAATTAAATGAATTTCAACAACCAAGCTTTAACCACCAGTAAAATACTAACCCTCTGGCACAGGTCATTACCAACAAGGCAAAGAGGCTCACACAGAAGCAAATACTTGTGCCTAACCTGTGCTCTGGGACCTCTCAGAAGTTTTGCAATATCAATTACTGGGACTAAGCCATTATAAAGGTATTTGTGCACAGCAAGTTTCCAAGTTCCCTTTCTTTTTCTATTGCACTCACTGGTCACTGGTGGCCCATGGGCTGCTGGGTGGCACCTTGATGGGGACAACACAAGGCCTCTGCTCCCAAGGGACCTGTGTGGGACATGGTATTGCTGCATGGCACAGACACAGCAGCAGCCCCAAGCAATGCAGTTTCTCGAGTGTCTGCTGACCAAAACTGTCCCTCTTCCAGCAACAAGCAAGGAGCAAAAATACTGGACAATTCCCAATACCGAGTTTCATTTTGTAGTAAATGGAAGTATTTTGCTCCTAAACTATAAAAACATAAAATAGAAGTGTTTATCTAGCTTACACATGGATTATTTTCCAGAATGCAAATGGCCTCTGGCCACATATGCACTGTTCCTAGGACAAGGAAAACCCTCCAGCTCTGCCCTGCTGGACTCTGCCTCAACTCCCAGATAGAACAGCCCAGGGACTTTCTCACATCCCCACCATTAAACTCTCCGAAGGCAGGGTGGCCAAGTCCAAATCACCTTACAGAGCAGTCCCAGGCAGACACTGGGCTGCCCAGCAGAGCACCTTGCTGCCCTGGCCAAAACCCACACCCACACCTTTGCTGGGGCTCCAGCCTCAGTACCACTACTGGAGTGTCTTGGGAGCACCAACAAATTTATCTGGGAGGGAAAGGCTGAATATTGCTGCTAACAGCTTGCTCATGGGACACGGACACTGTCAGAGCTAAACTATACACCTGAGGTCACAGCAACTGACTGTGAGAGAGGCAAGCAGAGGCCAGGGCACTGCCAGGCCACCCAAGTGCTTCATGAGCCCCAGTACACATCCTAAAAGCCTCTCTAGAGTGCAAATGGTCACAGCAACACTTCACAAGCATGAAAAGGTAAAACTTCAGCTGGTGGGAATTCAAATAATGTATGGCAATGAGTATGAGGAGAGGGTGTGATCACATGCACAAGCACATGCACTCGAAGGAGAAACCAAAGGGAAACTCAGGCCACCTCTAGGACCTATCTGCTCTCTGCAGAAAGCAGAGTAACGACTAGAGATCATGTTTTTACAGCTGATTTCAGTTTTCCAGCTTGTGATGCTGAGCAACAAAAAAAAAAAGCTTCTTCCAAACAGAAGTACACATATGTTTTGGGAGATGTAACTTGTTAATTACTTTATATGAAATAATACATTTGGCTGGGGGTAATGTTATATGTTGCTTCATGGTTTTTATTCAAATCCAGTAATGACACTTCATAAATTCTTAACTTCAACAGGACTCCAACACAAGCTTAGCTGCTTTGCTGAACAGAAGTGAGTTTCATCATCCACCCAAAGATAAGCAAATGCTTATTTCCTTCAATTCTTCTTGGGAAAACAGCTGGAATCTTGAACTTCTTGAAATTCTTTCTCAATCCTAATCCATATTTCTATCTTATTCAATTTTCTATTAGGACTCATTGCAGATTTTTCTGTTCCTTGCTGAAACATTGACAGAATGTCTTCTAACATCTCGTCTTCTTACAGAAATAAAAAGTATGCTTAACTCCATAAAAGATGTATTCAGCAGGAAAACCCATAAATTTGACTAGCCGTTGTTACATTTGTTACTATCTCTTTCAGTGCAGGAACCCATTTCTGGAAGAGGAAACATGCCAAGGCTTCCAAAACATGCCAAGGCTTCCAAACTAGTAATGCATACTTTTAGCAGGGCACTATATCTTTTGGTAAAGGCTTTGCCTTTGAAGTTGATGACCCTCTGCAATAGTCACATGAGCTTAATTTTGAAGCTGCAAATTCAGTTGCTGTTGAAATATACAGCAAAATTGCAGTTCATTCATCTGCTAAATGTTCAGCACCTGCCTCCTTTCACTACATGCCAGCATGGATAACTTTTCCTCCAAATACTACAACTGTGTTTAAAACCTCTCACATTTTTTCTGAAGATACTATAGAAAACTAAGAATCAGTTTATGAGCTACAGGTATTTTTGGATCCCTAGAGCTGTACATTGGGTATTTGCAGGGTTCTTTTTTGTCACTGCTAGGTACCACCAGGTCTGTACATACGCTTGCTTGGTTCTGACTGCTATTATGATATCCGACTAGGGGTTTAACATAAAAAGACCTTGATCCTGAATAGAGGAAAATATTTTGATCAAAAGAGCAAGTTTTGCACTGTGCTTTCAAAGAAGTAGGTATAGGCAGAGCTTGCTAATTTGAAGCATGAAGGAGCCCTGATTTTCAGAGACTCCATTTCCTATGAAGGGAAACCTCCAGGAAGCAAATCTTCCATCATTGTTTATGGTCTGTCCCAAAGAATTCAGTATAAGCTCATCTCCACTGACTCTAAGGCTTGTCCTCCACTGTCTTGATGATGTAGATGATCAAACCATCAGAGACATCTAAGGAAACACACACAGTCGCTACTGCAGGATGGTAAAAGCAAGACACCCTAAACCCCATGTTGCCTCTGCTGTGCACTACACAACTGATCAGAGAAGATTCTCAAACAAAAGGGATTTTTCTTTAGATGTTTTATTTGCCTCAGGCTGGATTAAAGAACATTTGCTCAGAGCACATGCATCTTCTTTTAAAAATGGTCATGACCAGAGCAGTACCTCTGCAAAGAAAAGATGTGTTAAGAAAAAAAGACACCTGAAAATATGTTTTCTTCAGAAATTCTGTGTTCTCCAGCATCAGTGCTGATTTTCTTATTGGCCTTGAGGGAGCACTGCTACATGCATTTTGGCTGGTTAGCAAAACCAAGCAGGAATGACTGCCAGGTATTTGAAATGCCTGCGCATCTTTTCCATTACACCAGGATAAATACTGCTCTCTGTTATAAACACAGGGTCTGGTCATATTCCCATCAAAGTTAGAGGCAAATTTCCCATTGACTTTAACAGTGTAACACAGGGCCTTTACAGAACAGACAGGGTACCTTTATATTTCCTACTGAATATGAAAAAGAAAAACCTGTGTACCAAAGTCTTTGATCAAAAAGAAAACAAACACATCTTAGGGGCTTTTTAATAACTTTTTCCCCAATAAAAAAGAGTAAAGTTGGCCTGAAATTATTATACCTGTTTGAACAGAAAGCATACTTTCTAGCTAGGCATTATATCATTCAATCTATGAACACAGAGATGTAATATAAAGTAATAAAGAGGAAATACAAGATAAAGTAAGATACAGACATATTAAATTGCTTAATGAAAACACAAGAGAAAAAGAGTGAGTAGAAAATATGGTTTCCTTTATTGAGAAAAATCCCTTTTCAAATGCTTAATCAATATAAGGTTCATATTTCCTGACTTGAGATATTTTTTACATTTATTTTTTTAGAAAATTATTAAATATCTTTAATGAATATAGATTGTTGCTTCTCTGCAGCCTGGCCTGGCAGCATCCTGGATAGATTGTTCTCTCTTACTCTGCTTTCTTTCTACAGCTGACTGTTCCAAGCAGTCCATCTCATAATTTAATTTCAGATCATTCTTGTCACTGAATTCCATCCCATAAATGTAAATATGTATTTGCAAATGCAGCTGGGGAAAAGGAAATCCTGAAGGATCATGCTGTTGGTGATCTGGAGATGAGTCAAATTAACATGGAACATTTGTTATCACTTAATATTTTTATGTTCTTGTACTGCAGACCAGATTGAGGCAATAAGAGGATTGTAGTTAAATCACTAGTATTCCTGTTTTATCAATATTCATTGTCCACATTCTATTAAATACCAGAGTCTAGTGACCAGGCTGTAAGAATCTGAGACTTCAGTCAGTGCCTGAGGCCATAAAGCCACCTGCTCCACCATGGCATCTATCCTTAAGTTGTCCAGCATGACATCTATCCTTAAGTTGTAAAAAAAAGCTTCTATGGTAACAACAGCTTCTATGGTGTTTGTAAATAGCCAGTTCTCCACATTCTCCCACCGCAGACCACTGGGGATGTAAGCCCACCACCCTGAACAATACCCCATGAATGCCTCTTGAGAGATCACTAAAAATTAGTGAATATCAGCTGAGGCTCCTTAAACTGTACTGTGTTTTGAACTGTACCCATGGCCAAGGGGCATGCAGGTCAGGGAGGGCTGGAGCCCTCCACATACTATGTGTACCATGCAGCAGTGGCTGGAGGGGAGGAGCAGCTCCTAGAGGTGCCCTGGGTTGGTTGTGCTGGGGTTATGGAAATCACAGGAGGGGAACATGTAGAGACAGGCAAATAAACCATAGTGTATTGAAGCAATCTTACTTATATATCCAAGTTAAATTTGACCAGTTTCTAAGGAGTACCACTACAACCAGCATGTACATATCACCGGGAGCATCATCTCCTTCCATTATAAAAATCTAATGATGCTTTATAAACAGAAATGAGGTCAAGCTAGCAATAAGCTGTCACACAAAATGCTGACATCTCGAAATATAGAGTATCTGAGAGATTTTTTTCTCATTAAAAATACTGCATTTGTTTTTCTCAAATGAAGTAGAAGTCATAAGAAAAATCAACATTACATTACCTAATTGTCCTTATTTTCATTTTGAATTCCCCCAGCGCGGGGCTGGGACAGCTCCGCTCCTTTGCACTGAGTGCCATGACAACCAACAGACCCATCGGATACCTGCATTGCCATCCTGCTCGTTACCTGGAGAAAAATGTACATACCAAACACTCAAACTCTTTTTAGACTTATTAAATATAAATAACTAATATGATTTGACCTAGATAGCTGAATGTAATGTATCATTGACTCCCCTGCTGCTTGCCTTGAAAAAGCCTTTGAGAGGGCAGCGACAGGTCGCTGCCCACCAGGCGCAGGGAGGAACAAGCAGGTTGTGTTGCTGGTGTCCCAGACTGCGGACCAATATCGTTGCCTCCAGAAAGAGAGCTTACAGTAAGGTGACTACAGCAACTCAGACAGAGACCCCGTCCCAAACCGTGGCTGTTCAGGTCTCTGGGTGCAGGGAGTGCCAGAGCCTGCTGCTGCCGGGGGAGGGAGGACAGCATTCCACCTGCGTGAGGTGTGAGCAGGTAGAAGATCTGCTTAGCCTGGTGGCAAGACTTAAGGAGGAGGTTGAGACGCTGAGGACTATCAGGGAGTGCGAAAGGGAGATCGACTGGTGGAGTAACTCCCTGGCGTGCCAGTCGGAACGGTTCCAGGGAGATACCCCCCAAAAGGGGAAGGACCCCCTGCCTTCTCACACAGAGGGGGATGGCCCGAGACAGCCCCTGCCCTGTAGCTGTTGCGCAGAGGTAGGGGACCAAAGAGATGACGAGGGTTGGAAGAGAGTTCCAGTTCGACGTCGTGGGAAACCCTCCCCCCTTCCTGCCCTGCTTCCCCAGGTGTCCCTCCGTAATAGGTTCGAGGCCCTGGATCTTGAAGGAGAGGTAGGTGAGGATGTGGGGCAAGGCCAGCCCACAAGACCACATAGGAAAAGGGGGTCGACATTGCACCTCAAGACTGCCTCAGTTAAGAAAGAAAGAAGGGTCATTGTAGTAGGGGATTCCCTTCTGAGAGGAACAGAGGGCCCGATATGCAGAGTTGACCCTCATCATAGGGAAGTGTGTAGTCTGCCTGGAGCCCGGATCAGGGATATCACCAGGGCGCTCCCCAGCCTGGTGCACCCGACAGACTACTACCCGCTGCTGGTCTTCCAGACAGGTGGGGAGGAAGCTGCTTCCCGCAGTCTGAGGGGGATGAAGAAAGACTACAGGGCCTTGGGGCGGATGGTGAAAGAGTCTGGGGCTCAAGTGATCGTCTCCTCACTCCTTCCATCTTCCACTGATGATGTGGGAAGGAATGGGAAGATTCAGTTCATGAACAATTGGCTTCGAGACTGGTGCTACAGGCAGGGCTTTGGATTCTTTGATAACAGCTGGTTTTATAGGGCACCAGTCTGGACAACGACAAGTGGGAAAGGTTTGTCTCACAGAGGCAAAAGGATGCTGGGGCACAAATTAGCAGGGCTCATTTGGAGAGCTTTAAACTAGATTTGAAGGGGGATGGGGTTGTAGCTGGGCTTGCCCCAGTGGGGCAGCACTCCAGAATTGATGAAGACTGGGAGGCCCCCTATAATCCTACGGTGAAATCGGTGTGCTCAGCTCGCTCCCTGGAATGTCTGTACACCAATGCGCGCAGCATGGGAAATAAACAGGAGGAGTTGGAAACCGGTGTTAAGTCAGGAGACTATGATCTGGTGTCAATTACAGAGACGTGGTGGGACAGCTCAAATGACTGGAATATAGTCATGGAGGGCTATGTCCTTTTCAGGAAAGACAGGCCAGCCAGGAGGGGTGGTGGGGTTGCTCTTTATGTGCGGGAGCAACTACAATGCACCGAGTTCTGTCCAGGGACAGATGACGAGCGAGTTGAGAGTCTGTGGGTGAGAATTAAGGGGCAGGCTGGCAGGGGCGATACTGTTGTGGGTGTCTGTTACAGACCACCGGATCAGGGTGAGGAAGTTGACGAGGCCTTCTACAGGCAGCTGAGAGCGGCCTCACAGTCACAGGCCGTGGTCGTCATGGGGGATTTTAACTTCCCTGATGTTTGCTGGAAGGACCACTCGGCAACCCAGCCGCAGTCCAGGAGGTTCCTCCAGTGTATGGATGATAACTTCCTCCTGCAAATGGTGGATGAGCCGACCAGGAGAGGAGCGCTGCTGGATCTCATCCTCACTAACAAGGAGGATCTGGTTGAAGCAGTAAGGGTTGGGGGCTGCCTTGGTTGCAGCGACCACGAGATGGTGGAGTTCAGGATCTTGTGTGATAGAACTAGGAGAATACCAAGTAGAATTGCAACCCTGGACTTTAGCAGGGCAAACTTTGGCCTTTTCAAGCAACTGCTAGGGGAAATCCCATGGGCAAGGCTGCTTGAAGGTAAAGGGGCCCAAGATAGTTGGTTGACATTCAAGGACTGCTTTTTCCGTGCTCAAGATCGGAGCATCCCGACACATAGGAAGTCAAGGAAGAGGGCCAAGAGACCTGCGTGGCTAAATAGGGAATTGCTGGGTATGCTCAAGTGGAAGAGGAGAGTTTACAGGTCATGGAAGGAGGGGCTGGCCACTTGGGAGGAATATAAGGCTGCTGCTAGAGGATGTAGGAAGACAGCTAGGATGACTAAGGCATCCTTAGAATTAAACCTGGCGAGAAGGGTCAAGGACAGCAAAAAGAGCTTTTTCAAATACATGGCAGACAAAACTAACACCAGAGGCAATGTAGGCCCACTGATGAACGGGATGGGTGCCCTGGTGACAGAAGATGCAGAGATGGCAGAGTTACTGAATGCCTTCTTTGTCTCTGTCTACTCTGCTGCAGGCAGTCCTGAAGAGCCCTGTACCCCTGAGACCTTAGACGAAGTCAGGTCAACGGAGCGGTTTGCCTTAGTCGATGAGGAATGGGTTAGAGACCAGTTGAGCAATCTGGACATCCATAAATCCATGGGTCCAGATGGGATGCACCCGCGGGTGCTGAGGGAACTGGCAGAAGTCATTGCTAGACCGCTCTCCATCATCTTTACCAAGTCTTGGGAAACGGGAGAGGTGCCTGAGGACTGGAGGAAAGCAAATGTCACTCCAGTCTTCAAAAAGGGCAAGAAGGAGGACCCGGGTAACTATAGACCGGTCAGCCTCACCTCCATCCCTGGGAAAGTGATGGAACACCTTATCCTTGGTGCCATCTTAAGGCATATCAAGGATAAGAGGGTTATGAGGGGCAGTCAACATGGCTTCACCAGGGGGAAATCATGTTTGACCAATCTCTTGGCCTTTTATGAGGAAATAACACGGTGGATGGATGATGGCAGAGTGGTGGATGTGGTCTACCTTGACTTCAGCAAAGCATTTGACACAGTCTCCCACAGCATCCTCACAGCTAAATTGAGGAAGTGTGGTCTGGATGATCAGGTAGTGAGGTGGACTGCGAACTGGCTGAAGGAGAGAAGCCAGAGAGTTGTAGTCTATGGGGCTGAGTCTAGTTGGAGGCCTGTAACTAGTGGAGTGCCTCAAGGGTCAGTACTGGGACCAGTATTATTTAATATATTCATCAGTGATTTAGATGAGGGAATTGAGTGCACTATCAGCAAGTTTGCTGATGACACTAAGCTGGGAGGAGTGGCTGACACGCCAGAAGGCTGTGCTGCCATCCAGCGAGACCTGGACAGGCTGGAGAGTTGGGCAGGGAATAACTGGATGAAATATAACAAGGGAAAGTGTAGAGTCCTGCATCTGGGCAGGAACAACCCCAGGTTCCAGTATAGGTTGGGGAACGACCTGTTAGAGAGCAGTGTAGGGGAGAGGGACCTGGGGGTCCTAGTGGACGACAGGATGACCATGAGCCAACACTGTCCCTTGTGGCTAAGAAGGCCAATGGCATCCTGGGGTGTATTAGAAGGGCGGTGGTTAGTAGGTCGAGAGAGGTCCTCCTTCCCCTCTACTCTGCCCTGCTGAGACTGCATCTGGAATATTGTGTCCAGTTCTGGGCCCCTCAGTTCAAGAAGGACAGGGAGCTGCTGGAGAGAGTCCAGCGAAGGGCAACAAAGATGATTAAGGGAGTGGAGCATCTCCCTTATGAGGAAAGACTGAGGGAGCTGGGTCTCTATAGTTTGGAGGAGACTGAGGGGTGACCTTATTAGTGTATATAAATATATAAAGGGGGAATGTCCACGAGGATGGAGCCAGGCTCTACTCAGTGGCAAACAATGATAGGACAAGGGGTAATGGGTACAAACTGGAACACAAGAGGTTCCACTTAAACTTGAGAAGAAACTTCTTCTCAGTGAGGGTGACGGAACACTGGAACAGGCTGCCCAGGGAGGTTGTGGAGTCTCCTTCCCTGGAGACATTCAAAACCCGCCTGGACACATTCCTGTGTAACATTATCTAGGTGTTCCTGCTCCGGCAGGGGGATTGGACTAGATGATCTTTCGAGGTCCCTTCCAATCTCTAGCATACTGTGATACTGTGATACTGTGATAACATCCCAGTATAAAACAACCCTAAATGTAAAAGCATTTATGTACATTACAGAGACTAAGTAAAGTTGCTACAATGAGATCATCAGTTTTATTATGTTTTAAGAGAAGATTTCCTTAAAAAAAAAGCTTTGAAAGTGAAAAATGTGAGTACGGTATTCAAGACTTTAAGTACTAATTCTGTGCTGTAAGTACAAATTTCCATCGACAGCGTAGTTAAAGCACTCCTATAAATTATATACATCACAAATCTCTGTAATTAGTGTCCCCAAAGAAAAAATTATTTTAAGTTGCTCTTAGAGCTCTAGCTTTTTCACTTTACTGGAACCCAAAAATATCATAGCATTTAGCAGTATCCATCTATAAAACAAGCTGTAGTTACATATACTTTCAAACACAAATAAAGAAAATACAGATATATGAGTTTACGGCCACTAGCCATTACAGAAACACCACTTATGAAAAGGTGTATCCAACTCAATGTAAGTCTAATGCTTCTCTTTCATCTTGCAGTTGATCGATATATATGAGAAATTTTATATGATACCAATGTCCAATTTGCATTTGATGTGCAAAACCCAACAATAGATCCAGCTTTACTTCTTGTCCTTATAAATGATGTTATCATTTTAACAGATAACCTATTTAAACATCCTAATGTTTCTCTAAGCACCATCTTTCTGGTAGCTGACCCTTGCAAGAGAATATAAGATTCTTACCTGAAAAATGACAAAGAGCTGCAGACCAAACTTCACACTTCAGCTGACTCAAGGCTCTCATTTAATTAGCACATCTTTATCTCATCCCAATTTATATTAATGAATTTCTTGGCAATACAGGAAAAAGGCCTGGCACCTGCACCCTAGGACCTAGGTAAAGAAACTGCTTTAAAGAGGATGAGTTTGGAGTTCTTTGTCTGATTTTAACTTTATTCACTTTCATTGTCCTGTTCTCTAATCAGTATTATTAGATTCTACCACAGCTTCCTCTTCAAACATCTCTCCAGTCTTCTTTCCTCATATCACTGAATTCCCACAGCCTTTGTTTTGTATTTGATTTTCTCCCCTTTAATGTCTCTCCAAACATTTAATTGCTTTTTCAGTTTCCCAGATAACATCCAGAGATGTTCAAACATTAATGGCTTTGCTTCTAGCTACTGACCAGCCATATAAATCTGTTCACACACCGCAACTCTCTTCATGAAAATTAGGTTCAACTCTGTCCCAAACTTCAATACAAAATCTGTTTGAAATCTGTTGATTTAAACCAGTGTGCCACTGCAAACACACTTGTCGATGCAGAACAACCACCTTCATAACCCTCATGTTTTGACACGTTTGAATCTGTCAGGAAGTCCAAATGAATTTCATTTGTAGCTGGGAGACAAATAAAACTGATTTGGGTGGAGGTTCCCCCATAAACGAATTGCATTAGACTCAGCACTGCCTTTCATCTGGTACCACACTCATTCGTCTTTTGCTTACAGGAAGGGGAGACTGCTTCTTCTGCCACTCCTAATTCAGACCACACAAGCTCCAGCAAAGATGCACAAGTTGGCTTTAGGCTGGAATTTTGCCCACAGGAGCTGGTGAAATCACTTCTTCTCTGTTTGAGAACAAACTACACTCACACGAGTGCATCAGGGAAGGAGGACCGTAGGAAAACATAACTAATCTGCTTGTACATGTTGTCCTCTGTGGAATGTTCTTATTCCTCTGCTTCATGATGGCCTAAGTGAGAAAAAAAAAGATAAACATTTAACTAACATGTGAGGTCACCCCGATTATTTATTACTGGGACTTGTTTGCTTGTTTGTTTGCAGCTGCTAACTCCATTCACTGAAGTACCCCCTGGATGCAGTTTCCAACAGAAAATTTATTAACTGGAATTGAATATCAAAACCACCAGATATGCACAGCTGCACTATGGAAATGTATGTTATCGCCTGCACATTATCCTGGGTTTCTTCAGAGTTTAAATGAATGTTTGAAAGAGGAACATGGGGGTAAAAGATTTAGAGGAAAAATACGTAAAAACAAAAGCATCAAATTTGAAGCCCTATATATGACCCAACGGTACTCAACTACCTATGAAATACATGTACATTTCTATGAGCTAAAACTGATGTGTGAGAATTGTGCTTGCAGCAAATGAGGAAGGCTGACCAAATGATACCCAAGCACCATTAGCCACAGCCCTGGGAGACCCAAACCAACCACGTCACTGCTCACAGGTGAAGAAGCAGGTAAACAGGACAGAAAATGTAGAACTTGATGAACAACAGGACTATGGTCTAACATTGCGGGGGATAACAAAAGTAAACAAGAACAGTAAGTGATGCCAATGGTAGAGAAATCAACTGCATTATATGCACAGACAGTGGTACCCAGTTCTGTGAATTCTGTGTTTTAGGACTAACTGGGAATTATTTTTGCTGAACCAGTGGCTACCAGTTCTGGAGTGGTGCTCCCTTTACAGGCTGGTAATATTGCTGAAAATCAGTTTTGAGTTTCAACTAGGGGATGTTGGCAAAAAACAGTGGAAAAACTGACACATGGGTAACGGAGACAGTCCCCTTCTGGCTGTCAGCTACCTTCAGCAAGATTCCTGCCAGCCCACACAGCTCCAGCTCTGCGTACAGCAGTAACTACAGTATCCCTACAACAAATTCCATTCCAGTTCTTCAGCACTCAGTTAAATGCTTGCTTCCCCTTCATGCACACAGTGCTGAAGTTACAAACAGAACTTACTTTAATTTGCTCAATATGCTGTCCCCTTTCCCACATTGCTCTTGCACTGGATTGCCCTGAACCCAGTGTCACTCTGCATTTCCCAACTTGTCAGCCGATAGAGTTAGGCCAGCCTCTGCGCCTTGTTTTCCACTTGCTCCTTTAGATCAGACAACCATGTGGGGACCACCTGAAAACAATTAAACAAGAAACTTCTCACCCTCTTTTGGACACACAAAACCAGACTCTTGATCAGAGCAATTCCAGGGAGAGGACACCTCATGGACTGCTTCAGTGCATGAGAAGTCCAGAGCCAGGCTTGTGGGAGCACACCATAACGGGATAGATATGTCAGGCAAGTTTCCCAAACCTTTCATTCCCAGGAATGACAGCAAAAATACCGAGAAACTATATGCGGTCATGTTTACAGTATTTTATTCTGTCTTATAGCATAATGCATTTAGAAGTGAGGAGCACACAACTCCATTACCTTCTTACATGATGAAACAAGTGGACTGAGAAGGCGAAAATCAAAGAAGATACGTTACTCGAGTAACCCATAATAATATTTCACAAACAACAGGTTTTGACATTTAGAAGTATGGACACGCTTCTATTCCTGCCACAAACATCTGCACAAATGAAACCAGCTTACACCAGGAGGTACTGACCAAGAACACCTGCTACCCCTAACAGCAACTGCATGTTGCATATGCTGTTTACTGACCATAAACTGCATTCATTTCTGTTTATCAAGGTTGTTTAGGTGAAGCTAATTAAAAACATCAAGATGTTGTCTCTCAGTCACTAAACACATAGACAACAGAAAAGTCATTTTAAAGACAAGTTAAATAAAAACATTGGTTTGCTTTTTCAGTTCTGGTTGCTGTTGCAGAATGACTCTAAGAGCAGAACCATAGAGTTCTGGAGGACTGTGCAAGCAAGGCAGGGGGTGGCCCCCACAGGTGGCCGGAGACCGGACCTGGGAGGAGAATGTGGAGGAAGCTGTGGGGGCTAACCAATACTGTTATGCCAAGAAGGAGTGGCTGAATACCACTCCTATATATGTGTGAACTGCGTCACAAATAAATTAGAAGTTGCTTATCACCCATATTGGGTTGGCCTGTCTGCTTCTCCTCACCACTTACAGGTTGCCTAAATCTACAAGGGTACAGGAGCAGGCAGATTTGTCAGTTCCGCACACCAGTGAGAATGAGTGCAGTCAACTTCTGAGCTGCCACCAGCAACAGTGAAGGGCAGAGAATGACAACAATCCTTCCACATAAACACTAGTTTCATTTCTGGTAAAATCTTGACTTCCTGTTTCATGGTACTTTCATAGTCTAGTCTTCACACGCATTGCATTACAGAAAGCAGTTATCATGCAAGAACATTGTTACACTTCCTTTTATAGTTATGACAGTGTAAAATGAAGGAAAATGCTGTTTCAGTAGACCAGACAGCATTGCACTTCAGGAGAAAAAAAATAGTCCAGACCTCTGTAGCGTTCAAAAATCTTTCCTCTGCACAAACATGACTTTTATTTAGATATTCAGAGTGCAGAATATTCTGCTATAAGAGACACAGATGATATTTGTTACTGGGAGAAAAGTCTTTTATGAATACTTGTATAAGACAGCTTTATGTGCCTCCAACACATCATTTACCTGATTTCCCATAAATACATTTTTTTCTTCAACTACCTTAAAACCAGCAACAAAACACAGAGGTACAGTCAGTCATAAGGGTACGCACATATTGCTGCCTCACAAGTAGCTGGAAGGCTGAAGTTTCTGTTAGAAGAGAAAATAATTAAAGTGATAGGAATTACTAGTTTTACCTCTGCTTAGCCCATCCCAAATAATACAAAAAAGTCTCTTGTGATTTAAAAATTACTACATATTTTAAGTGAATGAAGAAGGTGATGAAACATTACAAGGAGACAGAGGCAGGCACATCTTTTTATATGATAGGAGAGTATTCATAGCATGTCATCTTATCTGAGAAAGACATGGGTTTGGGAAGGAGAAAGGTGATTCTTCCTTCAGTGAAGAGACAACATAGATGTACACATATTTTGCTTAATTTATAGCTACAGGTATACTTGCATACCTGATCGTGATGCAATTTCTAAGCTTCAGTTCAGAAACAGCAAGACTACTATTCCCAGTAAATGTTTAGGAATTTTGTAGCACTGATGACATACCACTAGAGATACGACCTAGAGTCAGTGCAGGAGCAGTACAGGAGATACAGCATGTGCACAGCCTTCAGCACATGCAGGTGCCAAAGACGAGAAGAAACACAAAACCCTTTTCCCTTTCGCAGGTTCATGTTGTTCCTATTTTCTAAAACACAGGATTAGGCATGTGCCAGTTCCACCAGCTCCTACAGTGCAGGGAAACAAAAAGGATCCTTTAGCTTCAGCAGCAATGGCAATTCCCTCTGTCTTTCCTCACTTAAGAGAAACATTTTTGAAGTGCTGTGCTGCAACTGAGGTGAAGTGAGGTCAATAAAAGATTCCACCTGTACTAAGTGAAGACTCATGGGAAAATTGAGAAGAATTTTCCTATTCTCTTCCAAAATAAAATTCACTGGAAGGCCTTTGGAGATTCTAGACAAGGACTGTCACTTCACTCCTTTAACATGGCTAGAACTATCCTCTCTTGTTTCCACAGCATGAAGAGGAATGGTTACCACTGTAACATGCATGTCTCCTTCACATCTTAAGTTATTTAAAAACAGATGAATTTGAAGCTTCTTTATTCATCCTCAGAGGAGCTGTCTAAGGAGTTCAATATTCACAGTTCTGTATTTTTAAGCAAAACACTTAACATTATATCAGTAGCATATAAGCTGATGGGTGTTTTATGCCCTGTTCATATAAAAGCCCATTAAACTAACTGCGTTTCAGCCTTTGAGGATGGTAGAAAAGGAAGCCTTAGTTGATGAACTGCACAGTTACCACCAAGGAATACCTACACATATCTCTACCAATAAAATTTTCATGTTATTTCTTCAGTAGATATCAGCATGGTCATTACAGAATGTGAGAGTTTTCCAAAGCTTAATAGGCTTTTTCTTTCTACGCCTAGCGGTAACTTGTCCACAGTAAGCCTTTGTACTTGACTGTAGACCCACTAGTATAGGTTTGGTCTACTTAGTTTAGATTTTCTAGTTTTTCACATTAGCTATACTTTTTACATCCCAAGAGGATGCTTTGAAAGCCCTATGCTGTACAACATCATCTGGAGTTGTCCTGGGTTTAGCAGTAGCAGTCAATTTTTCTCCTTCTTGGTAGCTGGTGCAGCATTGCGTTTTGACTTCAGCTTGGGAACAGTGCTGATAACACTGATGTTTTCAGTTGTTGCTAAGTGATGTTTACCCTGACCAAGGACTTTGTGAGGCTCATGCTCTGCCAGGGAGGAGGGGAAGCCAGGAGGAAGCAGAGACAGGACACCTGACCCAAGCTAGCCAAAGAGGTATTCCATACCACAGCACATCATGTCCAGGATTTAACTGGGAGTTACCTGGAAGGACACAGGCTTTTGGGTCGGACTCGTTTCTCAGCGGATGGTATTGTATTCTCTTCCCTTGTTACTTTCTCTTATCATTGTTGTTGGTGGTAGCAGTGGTGATTTGTGTTGCACATTGTTCGCTGGACTGTTCTTCTCTCAACCCGTGGGAGTTGCACTCTTTCGATTCTCCCCCCCATCCCTTCAGGAGCAGCGAAGGGGAGAGACCCGGGGCGGGGGAGGGGGGGGCTCGATTGCTTCCAGCCCGGCACCACTCACTGGGAGTGAGTGAACAAGCTGCCTGGCTAGGGTTTAAACCACGACAGGCGTTCAAAACTCTGGAGTTTTCACCTGGTGCTTAATTTTTCCCTTTCACTTTCTCCAAACGGAATCTCCCTTTCCATGAGGCAAGGCTGACAACTCCATCATCATGTATATGGTAATATTCTCACCTGAATTGTGTCTTTGGCAATCAGGTAAAGGCATAAAGAGGATTCTGCTTTGGTTCTTATTTCTTGTGAAGTAGAGAAGAAGGAAAGGGATGTTTCTTCTCCCTTTATAAGATGCGAGTACCAAAAGAAATAATTAATTGTGGAAATCCTTATCTACCAATAGGGTATCTTTTCCAAGAAAGACTATTTTGCATATATTAACATAAGCCAAATAAATTATTGGGTTTATCTTTTTATGTGCATTTTTTCTTCCTGATGGCAAGCTAAAAATAGAATATTAGAATAGTTTGGGTTGGAAGGGACCTTCAAAGGTCCTCCAGTCCAACACCCCTGCAGTGAGCAGTGACACCTTCCACTAGATCACTGCACTCTGCAAAACAACCTCTTGGACAAATCTTGCTTGAGAAATTGCCAATTTACTTATTTTAATAAGCCTATGACCTATCAGACAACAAAGCAAGCAGGGAAAGCTCTGCTGGACTCCGGGCTTTTCAGCTGTTTCTGTACGTAAAACAATTGGTACATATGTACATATTCATGCATGGGGGAGAACAAGTTCAGATTTAACAGTCAATATGCGTATGTGCATACCACAGCACACAGCTTGTTGTTAATAAAAAAAGCTAATAAACAAAGCTTTGTGAGTTTACTTTCCATTAGAAAAGCTCAATAAACACAAGTGCTGACTTTCTTCTAATCTGCTCTCACCAAGTAACCTCAACATAACTTACTCTACCCACTGAAAATTTTCACTGTTTATCAGTTTAAAATTGATCACTCATTTCTTGTTTACTGTTGCAATAACAGCTCTGCAGCTGAAGGAAAAAGGGTTTATTCTTAGAAATAAAAGGAACACAGCCGTATTCATGTTATGGCATTTTCCTCATATTGTAGAGTTATAAAAATGGAGAAGGAAACTGTTGGAGGGAGGGGGTTCCTACTCTGTGAATTCACATTAAATGTAGGAAACAATTCCACAGAGGATGGCCACCCAGTTTGGCAGTCTCTGCCTACTGTTATTTCACTTTCATTTTACTGAATAAAATTGTCTTCTACTACACAGATGGACAGGGGTAGAGCAGTTGATGTCATCTACCTGGACTTGTGTAAAGCATTCAACAGTGTCCCACATGACATCCTTGTCTCTAAATTGGAGAGACATCAATTTGACGGATGGACCACTCAGTGGATAAAGAACTGGCTGGGTGGCCACACACAAAGAGTTGTGGTCAATGGCTCAATGTCCAGCTGGAGACCAGTAACGAGTGGTGTCCCTCAGGGATCGGTGTTGGGACCGGTCTTGTTCAACATCTTTGTCGCTGACATGGACAGTGGGATTGAGTATGCCCTCAGAAAGTTTGCCAATGACACCAAGCTGTGTGGTTCCGTTAATACCCTGGAGGGAAGGAATGCCATCCAGAGGGACCTTGACACGCTTGTGAGGTGGGCTGATGCCAACCTTGTGAAGTTTAACCATGCCAAGTGCAAGGTCCTACACCTGGGTCAGAGCAATCCCAGGCACAGCTACAGGTTGGGCAGGGAAGAGATTCAAAGCAGCCCTGCAGAGAAGGACTTGGGGGTGTTGGTTGATGAGAAAATGAACATGATCTGGCAGTGTATGCTTGCAGCCCAGAAAGCCAACCGTATCCTGGGCTGCATTAAAAAGAGCGTGACCAGCAGGTCGAAGGAGGTGATCCTGCCCCTCTACTCTGCCCTTGTGAGACCTCACTTGGAGTATTGTGTGCAGTTCTGGTGTCCTCAACATAAAAAGGACATGGAACTGTTGGAACAAGTCCAGAGAAGGGCCACGAGGATGCTCAGGGGACTGGAGACCCTCCTGTATGAAGACAGGCTGAGAAAGTTGGGGCTGTTCAGCCTGGAGAAGAGAAGGCTGCGTGGAGACCTCATAGCAGCCTTCCAGTATCTGAAGGGGGCCGATAGGGATGCTGGAGAGGGACTGCTTATTAGGGACTGTAGTGACAGGACAAGGAGTAACGGATTAAAACTTAACCAGGGGAAGTTTAGGTTGGATATAAGAAGGAAATTCTTTCCTGTTAGGGTGGTAAGGCACTGGAATAGGTTGCTTAGGGAGGTTGTGAATGCTCCATCCCTGGCAGTGTTCAAGACCAGGTTGGACAAGGCCTTGGGTGATATGATTTAGTGTAAGGTGTCCCTGCCCACAGCAGGGGGGTTAGAACTAGATGACCTTAAGGTCCTTTCCAACCCTAACGACTCTATGATTCTATGATTCTACACTGACATTTCTACGTCCTACTAAAGCAGTAATCTGCTGGTTGCAATATGAAGTTTCGCTGAGTTCATTGATAGCTCAAGGTCTTCAACATCTCACTTAGACTCTGATCCAAAATATACTGAGATAAGTGATGCATTCCTCTTACTACAGTAGACTTCATGACACAGTACCTTGGGCAGGCCCCTTTTCCACCAGGTGGTCTGGGGTATACTCTACACCATTGGATTGGCACACTTTGCTGTTCAGAAATCAGGTTGTTGACACGTGGGTAGGAAACTCCCTTCTACCTAAGGTGCACACAACTGCATACTGCTGGCGAAAGCCATGTTCCCTTAAAGTCGGAGATGACTCTTCCAGCAATATCAAAGGGAACTGGAACGGATCTTTCAGTCAGCATACTGTGGCCCACAAAACCAACAGTACTTGTAACCTGCTAAAGTTGAAAACTTCAGAGAGGAAAAAAATATATGCATTACCTGTGCTGGCACAGCCATAAAAAAAATTTACCTACTCCAGTGAGATCCCTCCAGCTGTCCCTCTGAAAAATATCTCTTCTACTCTTTGTGGGCTTTTCTAAATATCTTGGTAAAACAGCAGCAATTTAAAGCACACCATTAGAAAAGGCAGTCCCATACTGTTAAGCACTTTATGTCTATTTTACATGAGTCCAGCAGGGGTCATATGAGGGACAGTGACTTGGTTTTATATACTTTTTTCCCTTCATTCTCTCACTTCTCCAGGGGTAGCACAGCCACAGAGGAACAAGGTAGGAGTTGGAATAGCTCCAAGAAGCTGACTCACCCTCTGGGATGCCATCCACAATGCAGAGTGGTAAAAAGTGTGCTATCCCTTCACCAGCACGCAAGCCTTGCTGCAATTTGGTTCTAATGATGCTAGCCCAGGACCCTGGAGACATGCAATTCCACATGGCCGTGTTGCTCTAGTAAAGTACCTTGTCTCCTGCTGCATCTCTATAATAGTTTCCCCACAGTGAAATACAATAGGGCTGAGATTACTGATCTACCTATTGGGAACTCTTGACTACTGAATGCTTGATGTCATAATCCTAACACCATGTGGAAAAGGGTTTTGATATATGAAAAGTCCTCCCCAAAGTATTTGATTAAGTAGGTCAGTCTCTTACCAGGTGAAATTATTTCCTTCAGTTTACTACAGAGGCTGCACTTTCAAGCAGT